GGTTATCCGAGAGGGCCCTGCACACAATCAGGAAGGGCCTCATTGCCATGAACGAGGTAGTAGTCATACCCATGCTGAAGGTATGGCACGCCAAGTATATATGCTGTTGATTCACTTTAAGGTCCGCGTTTCAGCAGTTATGGGACCACTGAGCACGCGAGTTTCTGGGCAATAGCAGGCCAACTCACCACATGCTTTTCAGGGCTTCCCTCCACTAAAAATGTGCAAAATGGATTTCTGCTAGAACATGGAACCGTACGCCGCCATATGTTTTGTCTTTTGTGCAAGTGGTGACGAGTGAAGCAAGGCTCTTAGGGCCACTTGTCGTAGGAAAAAGAAACAAAAGAAATAGAGGAATGAATCTTCTGCTAGAACATGGAACACATACGCCGCCATATGTTTTGTCTTTTGTGCTGGTGACGAGTGGAGCAAGGCCCTTAGGGCCACTGCTCATAGGAAAAAGAAACAAACGAAAGAGAGAGCTACAGTCATAAGTAGTTGTAACTTGTAACCCATAACTGCTCGAAAGCAGACCTGACTTCGGATCCAGAGCATATATCACTGGCCTGCTCTTCTTTCATACGAAATTTGCTGAACATCTCTTGAGATGTTCGGACCCCTGCATATGTACTGCTGGGGTCCTCCGCGAAAAAGACTATTTAAAAAGGAATACGTGGGCCCTATGTTTTTTTTTGTGGGGAGGTGCGCCATTGGCTATCTCAGCCAGCCTTCTCCAAATTTTTTTATACACCCTATTTAGTGGGGTGCGCCGCATCACGTGCGCGTGCATGCTTACACGTGCGTTATGCGCCGTGCGTGCGGAGCTCGCGGGCACGCGATGCGACGCAGGTATGGGTTGGAGTATAGGCGGAGTGTAGGGGTGATATAGGGAATATTGGGGGCGTTAATAAGGATGTTGGGTGTGGTTCGGGAGTGTTAGGTTGGTGTATGCGGGTATTGGTGGCCGCTATGGGGGTGTGGGTGGGGTTATTAGGGGTGCTGGATCCCCCCCCCCCCCAAAAAAAAAGGTGCGGGGTGCCGACGATCCCCGACTGCTAGGTGCCAACCAGCCGATCGGTCGGCGGGTCGGCAGCCGACCAGTCAAAGGCCGCCGACCGTCGGGGTGTGCAACACTGGTAACAACTAAATAATCAAACATAAAAATAATATTCCCTGCAGAGATGCAAGCTGGATGGCAGTTTATCTAATTAATATCTCAGCGCCCCCTGTATCCCTCTTGAGTAGTCACTTTGTGTCGACGTCCTAAGCATCTGGTTGAGCAGCGCGTCTGAAGGTGTGCAATCCAGCCCACCCCTGTGCCCCAAGTCTATGCCGAACCTGCCAGCCCCTGCACCTTCTTTATCCTTGCATGCAACGAGCCTTACACTCGGTTTGATCTGGCTGATCAAGAGGCAGTTTAAGGACAGCCCCCAAGGTCCTCAGGAATTATTTAACGTCGCAGACAGAACGACGATCACAGCCAGGGGTCAACACTGGAACCCGCGAGAAAAATTTAGAGCCGGTTTGGTAAGCGTCTGATCAAAGGGCTGGCATGCCCTGCATGACCTCTATTGCACAGCAGCAGAACCAAGGACTTGCGGCAAAGCATGTGTGTACTAGTCCCAGCGGGTTGGCATGGTGACCGTTACCCGAGTGCTTCGTCCAGGGCCCTTCAGAGGCTTCGCCCATCTCCCATCAGCTTGCTGCCCAGGAAGAATGTCGACTCTCAAGGTTGAGCGCTCGCAACACCTCACATTGAGAGGACTCTCAAGACAGAACTCACTTCCTCACGGTAAGAAGTAATGAAGAGGGTAGATAAAGAAGAGAGCAACGTCCCTCATAATGCTGCCCCCAACCACAGACTTCTCACCGGCAACCTGATGTGCATTTATGATGACCGGTCTTTGCCTCGGCACAACCAACAGCAGAATGCAGTTCCACCTCAGCTTAAATGCCACATCAGCGAGCTCTCAACATCCAGCGTACATCCCTAATGTCACCACATAGCTTCCTGGCGCGCCCACAGGACCCTGGGCCGCCAATCGTTCAACGCCCAAGTCTTATTACTGCCCCATACCTCATGCGAAGCACCAAACAGCTATTGCAAAGAACCAATGAAGTGCAATTCGAACCAGCTCCGATACCGAATTGCAAGGAAAATGAGCAATAGCGAGATGACGTCCAGAATGCACAATCACATTGAAGGCCAGATAGTATCACAGTGTCCAGAAAGCAGAAACACACCAATATAACACCAATGAAGAATCGTAACACTGAAAACCAATGTCAATGAGAGCTTGCTCTCGCCACCACCAACATGAGTGTCCAGGCCCTATCTCCCTACTTGGCGCTCGACGCCCAGCCTACTTCCTACACAGCTACAGTCTGCCTACTAATTGACAATGCAACTGTTGACGTCAGCAGCCCACGAAGTACTTGAAGATGTCGCCCAATGCAGACCATCGCCAATACCAGGTATGTGCCCTCACATCATCATCATCATCATCTTCATCGTTCTCTCTCTTCCCTGACTTGCTCCCACGTCTTCCCTCTATACACCCGAAGACCACCCCTGCGCTCACTGTAGTCCAAGCCCATCCAGCTATGGAGGCTGGGCTATGGCACTGCCCTCAGCAGCGCCCTGCTTCCTGCACGACCGCACGCACTAGCACCTTGCCTCTCAGCGCCGGCAGCAGCCTACGAGCGTCCGCTCCAGCAGCGCTGCCGCCAGCATGCAAGTGCTGAATGCCCCGCCAGGCAGCGAGCTCTTTCCTATGTGGAAAGAGCCTGCCTCTCTCGGCGGCCTGGCTGGCCTGGGCCTCTGCCCAGAAGCTTCCAGTAGGCCCCAGGAACCTCTGCCTCCGATGCTGCTGCTGGGCCTCCGTTTGGTTGGGCCTCCCAACTGTCTGTGTATGAGGCTGCGACTCTCGCCCAGGGCCTGCATTTTTGGAAAGGCCTGGAAGGCCATGGAATGCCTCGCTGCTCGGCCTGTGTTTCCCTCAAACAACTGGCGCGACAAAACTGCCTGGACCCCAAATACGAAATTGACAGCTTAGGGCCTCTCGTGATTTGTTAGGCCCGCCTTCACTTACGGCGGGCACATCTGCAGCAAGGGGCCCCTTAGGCCTGCCGAGGACCCAGATCCTCGCATTCCCTCCTCTTCTTCGATAGTCCTTGAAAGGAAAGAAGTGGCCAATTAATTGAAAAAGATTACCGACCATTTGAATTGACAAGTTGACCAATTCAAAAACTCCGACCACAAACAAAAAAGAAGACGACGATGACGAAGAAGAAGAAGCACAAATGGAAGCGCAGTTGTTGATGATTTTTGTGTGGGTCAGGGTGTACTCACACTATCTTAAATGTGTCTGGCCGCATTTACGGCCAACCTAGATGGATTGCCCATAAATAAGTAAAAAACGTATCTGACGGCAATTACGTCCATAAATAAGTCAAAAATGTACCTGACAGGGGGCATATACGCCCTCAATGGCTCATAGTAGAGTCATTACCACACACAAATGTAGCTGTCGATAAACAGGCTGTGAGTTCAAGTCCTGACATATGAAACGGCAAGATCGGGGGGAGCTAATTCCAACTTGTGAAAAGGGAAAAAAGAAAACAAAAGTAAAAAGGTTTAAAAAGATTGATGAATAAGCATTACCTCATCAGGCGTGAATTGCAACAACACAGCAATCACCGGTAGCAAGGCCCCAACCTCACCTGCACAAGACAAAGGAACAGGAACGCAAGTTCCCAGAACAGGCAACAAAATTAAAAAAAAAATAAAAAATCAAAGAACGCAAATCCAAAACCCCAACGCCAAGCATTCCCAAGCGAAGTATGAACATGACGACACTCAGATACCGACTTCCTGTCATGAATATGGCTGAATTCATTAGGAACAGTACATACTTGAGTGCGAGTACTGTGCTCAGTCCTCACAGGACAACCTCACAAACATGCAATGACCATTCACATGAGAGTTCACAGGTGAGAAGCCAAAGCCGAGATACAGTCAACGCATGAAGAATCCGTCACCAAATTATCATGATTGTACAAAATTGTTTATGTCCCCAGCGTCTGTGCCACTCACACACTCAGCATCCCCACACCGGCTTTAGCTCTACTCTGTGTCTCCAGCTTCTGCCTCTTGGTCTTCTTCTTCTCTCTAACTTGGACCGCTCTGCCTCACTCTCTCTTCCACTCTCTCTCTCTCTCTCTCTCTCTAGATTGATACCCTGGATGCACCCACTCAGGTAAGCTTCACCTGGCGGCTATGGCTGACCAACTCCTACCTCCCTCTACTCTAGCTAAGGAGCACTGTCGCGCGCCCTCGTCCTCGTTCAGCGCGAGGCGCCCAGGTTGCCATAACGCACAAGCAGCAGCAGCGCTTCCACATTTTGCCATCGAATACAAGTGATGAGCCACTGCACTGATGCAGCTAAATATACGACTTGACTTGGCTTGGCCTGGCCTGCTCCAGACCAGTACCTGTCGGTCGCGGCCTGTCTGCTGCAAACATTTTGCCGGTCCGGTACCCTTCGGACTTTCCTGGGACATGCTGCAAATTGGGCTTAGGACGGTTGGACTGGACTGGACTTCTCTGGACTGTTCTTGTTGGGTACTGGACGGACTTCCACCGACCTAGGACATTTCGGTACCGACACCTACCGACCTATGACGCTTCAGCCTACGGACCCTACGGCCTATCCTACCGAGACAGCCTGGGACTGGGACACTTCGGGACTCTGGGACCGGAACTGGGGGTGTCTGTAGTGTGAAGCCTTTCAGCTCAAGAAGGTGTAAGTTATTCACACTAAGCCTGGCCACCTGTCTACCTTCTTCACCCGAATACAACGTACAGTCATTATAGCTGTATTTGAGGCATCTTTCAGTCTAGATACAGCTATAATGACCGTACGTCGTATTCGGGGGAAGAAGGTAGCACTGAAGACATAATCTCTTGGCCCAACCTCCAGTCTCAGGACACACCAACTTCTCTTGGGTTGCTATAACCCTCTGTCAACATAAATCATAAGCCCGTCTCTCCATCTCTCTCTCTGCCTCCCTCTCCTGGACTCCAGTCTCAGGACACACCAACTCGTCTCGGGTTTTGTGCCCCTCTCTCTCTCCCTCTATCACACCCTCTCACTCCCTCCCTCTCTCCATCTCTCAGGACACACCAACTCCTACATCATGTGCCCCTCTCTCTCTCTCTCTCTCTCTCTCTCTCTCCCCCTCTCTTTCCCTCTCTCGCTCCCTCTCTCTCCCTCCCTCTCTCTCCCTCCCTCTCTCTCCTTCCCACTCTCCCTCTCTCGGTACACACCACCTCTCGCTCGGGTTGCTAACCCTCTGTCAATACAAATCATGTGCCCCTCTCTCCTTCTCTGTCCCTCTCTCACTCCCTCTCCCTCTTTTTCCCTCACACTCTTGCTCTCTC